TAATTAAGGCCGTCTTGAAACTGATTGTGGTTCCTTTTTGACTTTGTTCTTTCGCATTTTTACAGTGTGTTTAGATGGAACTCTACCAGGTTATCACATACATCCAGGTTCTGGGTCAGGGGCAAACAGTTGGCTCATTCAATTGGAGGTATATGCTAAACGATAGCTCTGTCATTAATTATATTTAATGTGTAGTTAGTTGTCTTAGCTGTCACCATTTATGAGAGTTCGTTTCTAGTTAGATATTGTTGTCTTGCATATTCTTATTTGAGATCAAGGTTTACTTGATTGCTCGATTAATTGATTGTTGTGGTCCGGAGAACTCAAAGTTGGTATTTTAATAATATCGGGCTGAAATGAACTTAAACGGAGCAACATAGGCAATTAGGATTGATATAGTCGACCCCAACTCGCTGGGGACTCAGGTGTAGTTATATTGTTGTTCGACAAGTTGTTCGTTAACGTACAAGTTTGGTACCTGTCATACTCTCTTATCAGGATTATGGAATTGTATCCCATTTTAGAATTCCAATTTCATGCTTCCCTAAATTGGGGAATTAAGTATATGCTAAATCCAGCGTTTTACAAAATTTTCCAGCTCTATAATTGCATTTATTGATTCAGAACCTAAACTGAGTGATGCCTCTTGTGGACAGGGTGGAGGATGGTGTAACACTGTTAGAAATTGTGTTTATCGCAAAACGACTAGACGCGGCTCATCAAAATTCATGGAAAAGCAGATTCCATTTACTGGGATTTTAAGTAACAAGGCTGAAGAAAATCCAGGTTCGCTGATAATAATAATTTACACTAAGACTTTTACAGATTCTGCATTTGAAACTTTTCTTTATTGTCTCTTCTCTGGTTGCAGATTTTTTTAACTGGAATAGAGTAAAAGTTCGTTACTGCGACGGAGCCTCCTTTGCAGGGGACAGTGAGAATAAGGTGTGTCACAGCCTGCACCATTTTCTTCTTTTAGTATCCATTTATCATGTAGAGATGCTGTTTGTCTGCAATAGTAATTAGATGGAGAAGAAAATGACAGCTGAAACTTGTCATACTAACCATTTTGCCTTCTTTACATTCTTTGTCGTCTGGTCTTTTTTGTTTCTTTCTCTTTTGGCATTTTGAGTGGTAGTTGGAGGGAAATGACGTTTACGAAATCGATAGTCTTCCTGTGTGAGGTTGGGCAAAAGACAGTGGTCTTTTAGCTCCCTTTACTTTTTCTGTTAGCTCAATGACATCTATTGAAACAGAGTGACTTTGAACTTTTGGCACTTCTGAGCTGCTCTTCCCACATTTCATGCTTCCTGTGAGACTGAGGATGTGTAGAAGTTTAAATTTTCAAGGCTCCGCATATCTGTTGCATCTGCTGTTCGATATTCTCATTCTCAGGCTTTGAATAATTGTATATACTTTCTGTAGTTCTTTCTCGCGGGGCCACAGAGAGTGATGGTTGAACAACTAATACTAGCATAAGCTAAATTTTTATGGTTAGCATGTGCCCCTTTCCGAAATCTCACAAATTTGACCTCTGACCATGATACAAGCTTTGTTCATCTCCACTGATTAAACCATTTGATGTTCATGCATATATGTGTGATGACATTAAAGTTTGATAAAGTACAAGAAACATTTGAAGTTACTATATGATTTGATTGCTTGAGATGTACTTTATAAAGATTTTGTTGACTTGTTTTTGTGTAAACTAGTTGTATTGAATTATATTTCATTTCTCTCCAGGCTGCACAGCTGCAATTCAGAGGTCAACGTATATGGGAAGCCGCAATGGCCGAGTTAATGTCAAAAGGAATGCGTAATGCCCAGCAGGTCAAAATTACTTCTTGCCTTATCATTTGGGCTGTTCTTGTCATTCATATTCTGATATAGATAATCGTGTTTCAGGCTCTTCTCTCTGGATGTTCTGCTGGTGGTCTAGCTTCAATATTGCATTGTGACGAGTTCCGAACTTTGTTCCCAAGTAGTACCAAAGTGAAGTGCCTAAGTGATGCTGGATTATTTATGGATGCGTACTTTCCTGATCTTGATACACCCAATATACTTCAATTCCTTTAGTAACAAGATGATGTAATGGTCTTTTTTTGGATAATATGCAGAACGGATGTATCCGGGGGGCACGCCCTCAGAAACGTATATCAAGGCGTAGTTAGTGTGCAGGTACCAGACACCTCTAACTCTATATTGGTCAATTTCATCAAACTACTGCTTTTGCGTGTTGATTGTCAAAATACTGTTAACAACTAAAGTGTTTATCTAAGTTTAAGGATTAATTGTTGTCAAGTTTCTATTATAGTTACAGAGATGCTGCCAGAGTCGGACCCAAGATTTTAAGATCACGGGTGCACTTTTTTATTGTATATAGAGTGTCCACTATTAATATCCTATTATTTTCTAAGAATATATACATGTATATATTGAAGTTTTGCCGAACTTTATGGGTGTCCGTGACCCCTCTACCTTATGTATAGGTCCGCCTCTAGATGCTGCAGTCCTCTTACCAAGTCAGCACCCTTGGAGAAATAAAAAGACTCAAAACTTGAAAAGCAATTTCATAGCTACTTATTCTCCCTACATTAATGTCTTTCTTGACCAGCTTAATCAATCCCAAACTACGGGTCGGCCATATGAATTTTCTATACTCATTCCTACTCTAATAAGGTTTATTTTGATCCTATACTAAATAATAACATGAACACCGGACCTAATGCAAATATAACAGAAACAACTAAGTCTTACTCATCATTTACTTAGATTGCATTATGTTCTTAACTAAAGGTGCATTGATTTACAAGAGGTTATGTCTTTTTGAGACAGTTTTTCTCTATTAGAGAGAATCACAAAATAAAAGAACTGTTAAGGGATATCTTTTTTGCATTTTTCGATAACTTATCTCCAAGCATTGCTAAGCAGAATATTCATAATTTTAACAGGGTCTTCAAAAGACGCTACCAAGTACTTGTACCAACAAACTTGATCCAACCTCGGTAAGTCTTTTTAAATATAATTGCCTTTTCAATATCTGATATCAGTTCATTTTACTAATACAATTCCTATATTTCTTCCTTTCCAGTGCTTCTTTCCTCAGAATTTGATCGACAATATCAAGACCCCTCTATTTCTGCTAAATGCTGCCTATGATTCCTGGCAGGTAAATTCTCAACTCCATAGATTCTTAGTTTTCTCTTATTTGGTGGTTTCATACATTACAATCTTTGGGAAATGATCGAATAGGTTCAATCCAGTTTGGCTCCTCCAGTAGCTGATCCTAAGGGCTTGTGGCATGATTGTAAACTCAACAATGAACAATGTTCTGCATCACAAATTCAATTTCTGCAAGGTATGATCCACTAAGCTCTTAATTTTTTGCCTTTTCGGTATTCTTAGACACTGTACTTACATGTCGATGAAATACATTTTGGAACAGGTTTCAGGAATGATATGCTAAATGTTGTTAAAGGCTTTGCTGCCTCAACACAAAATGGTCTCTTCATAAACTCATGCTTCGCGCACTGCCAATCCGAGAGGCAGGATACATGGTTTGCTGATGATTCTCCCCTTATCGATAACAAGGTACCGTTTGTAAATCCTTTTCTCTCTATGCTATTTTATTTTCTTTGTGCAAAAGATAATTTGAATTTACAACTGGATCTGACAAATAATATCAACAAACATTGGAACGATATGCAGCCGGTTGCACTTGCAGTTGGAGATTGGTATTTTGATAGAGCAGGCGTGAAGTCAATTGACTGTGCTTATCCATGCGATAAAACATGTCACAACCTGGTCTTCAAATAAAATCAAATTCTTTTCTGCCAACTTAGCAGAAATATGTCATTATCTTCATAATCAATTCCCCTCCATTTATTTAATATTTACAAGTGTAACAAAGTTTACTGTAGACAATGAATTTGGCAATTTAGTCAGAATTGCAGTTAAACTAGTAGTGCTCGAAGGGTACTCCTGTGCCAGCCAGTGTATCGTCGAAAAGTCTTGCTGCTCTGTTTGTTACATATTGTTGTATACATCGAAAATTTGCTGGATACTCCAAATATATTTGAGCAACCATGTAAAAATATCTAAAAATTTCAGGGGAGCACTATTTGGTCGCCCTCATTTAACTTATACTTCGTACAAGAGTATTTAGATTAATTTACTCTAATACAATAAGTCACCATATTTTTAATCACAGAAAAACACATTACATTAAATATGGACAAATATTTAAATAAAATTTAAGAAGAAAATACGTTGATCATAATGAGGGAACATCAGAAGGCGTAGGGAATTTTGTGGATGTAAGGGCATATAACCCAAGACATAAAGATGCACACCAGACAATCAGGGCCGGCTCCAACCTTATGAGGGCCCCATTTCTTAAAAATAGTGTAGGTTCATAAGTATTTAAAAAATATTAAAAATTGTAGCTCAAAGTAACAATATAAAACAAGAAGATAAGTAGAAGAAGAGAAGAAGAGATAACTTTCTTATTTCATCAAGTGTTCAAGTGTATTCCATCTCACATTTCATGCCTCTATTTATACTATTACATATGAAGGTTACAAAATAATTGTCTTAAATATGACATTAACAATTGAGATAATGGAGAGAGTTTATGGAGGTGTGAGAGTTACAATCATAATAGTGATGAGTAGTGGGAGGTTATTCACATTATGGGTGAAAATAGTGGGAGTAGTGGGCATCCACATTAACTATAGGTTTTACAACACTCCCCTTTGAATGTCCAAAATAAATAATATGCCTCGTTACAAACCTTACCAGGAAAACCCAGTGGAACAAAACCTAGACTAAGGGAAAAAGATTACAGCGTGTATCTTACTCCCCTTATGAAAACATCATTTTATTTCCCGAAGACGGCACATTCCAATCTTCTATCTCAACTTCTCAAATATTGAGGTTAGTAATGCCTCAGATCAGCCAAATTATGAACGAATCTGTTAAACATTAATTTTACCATTTTGTTAAAGATCATGTGTGAAAAAGAACTTTGGTGAAATGTGCTTTGTTCTGTCTCCTTTGATGTATCCTCCTTTCAGTTGAGCAATGCAAGAAACATTGTCTTCATATAGTGTAGTTGGATTATCTGTTTTCATAGGAAAACCACACATTTCCTGAATATGCCGAGTCATTGATCTCAACCAAATACATTCCCGACTAGCCTCATGAATGACTATTATCTTAGCATGATTTGAAGATGTGGCAGCTATTGTTTGTTTCATTGAACGTCATGATATAGCTGTACCTCCATATGTAAACAAATAACCTGTTTGAGATCGGGCTTTATGTGAATCAGACAAATAACCTGCATCGGTATAGCCAATCATTTCTCACTTGAATTCATTAGAATAAAACAATCACATATCTATAGTTCCCCAAAGATATCTTAATATATGTTTAATACCATTCCAGTGTGTTCTTGTTAGGGAGGAGCTGAATCTTGCTAATAAGCTTATTGCAAAAGCAATATTTGGTCGAGTATTGTTGGCAAGATACATCAGTGCCCCAATTCCACTAAGATATGGAGTTTCATCACCAACGAGATCTTCATCATTTTCTTGAGGCCGAAATGGATCTTTATTTATGTCAAGTGATCTCACAACCATTGAGGTACTCAATGGATGTGCATTATCCATGTAAAATCACTTAAAAACCTTTTCAGTGTATGTTGATTGATGGACAAAAAATCCATTTGGTACATGCTCAATTTGGAGGCCAAGACAAAATTTTGTCTTACCAAGATCTTTCATTTCAAATTCTCTCTTAAAACACTCTACAACTTTTGGAAGCTCTTTAGAAGTGCCAATGATATTCAAGTCATCAACATACACAGCTATGATGACAAATTCAAACACAGACCTCTTAATAAAGATACAAGGGCAAATAGGGTTATTTTTGTACCCATCCTTTAGCAAATACTCGCTAAGGCGATTGTACCATATCCTCCATGATTGCTTCAATCCGTATAAGGATTTCTGAAGCTATATTGAACAAGTTTCTCTTGAACTTTTATGTGCTTCAGGAATTTTAAATCCTTTAGGGATTTTCATAAAAATATCATTGTCTAGTGAGCCATATAAGTAGACTGTGATAACATCCATCAATCGCATATCAAGCTTTTCATGGAATACTAGATTTATTAGATACATCAAGGTAATTGCATCTAACACAGGAGAACATGTCTCCATATAATCAATGTCAAGCCTTTGCGAAAACCCTTGTGCCACAAGTCGTGCTTTATATCTTACGACTTCACCTTTCTCATTTTGTTTTCGCACAAAAACCCATTTGTACCCTACTGGCTTGACACCTTCAACCTTTCGGACTATTGGTCTGAAAACTTCACGTTTTTCGAGTGAAACCAATTCCGCTTGAATTGCATTTTTTCATTTTGGCCAATCATTTGTCTATCTACATTCATCGACAGATTTTGGCTCAAGATCCTCATCTTATTGCATTACTTCAACTGCAACGTTATATGCAAAATTATTGTCAACAACAACATTATTCCGGTTCCACCTTTTTCCTGTAGAGACCTAACTTATTGGGATTTCTTCATTTTCATCATTTCAATGTACTAGAACCTCATGTGATGTCTTATCAATTATTATGTCTTTATGCTCCTCTTGAGCAATTGCCTCCATGTTATGATCATTTTGATCATTTTCTCCTTTCCTTTTTCGGGGATTCTTATCATTGGAACCGATTGGTCTACCACGTTTAAGGAGTGGCCTAGACTCATTTGCATTATCATACTGTTCAGTTGGGACATCAACTCGAATTGGAGCATTTACAGCTGTAATATGCGATTTAGTAACCCGTGAAAGGTTAGTAAATGCCTCTGGCAATTGATTTGCAACATTTTGCATATAAATGATCTTTTGAACTTCTTGTTCACATTGATTTGTACGAGGATCCAAATGAAATAGAGATAATACGTTCCAATCTATCTCTTTTCCCGGCTGTTTATTTTCTCCCCCTAATATTGAAAAAATCGATTCATTAAAATGACAATCAGCAAAAGCTGTAAACAAATCTCCTGTCATAAGTTTTAGATGTCTAATAATAGAAGGAGATTCATAACCAACATATACTCACAACCTTCGTTGGGGACCCATCTTTGTGCGTTGTGGTGGAGCAATTGGAACATATACCTGTCACACCTCCTTTTTTCGTACCCGCAGGGCGCAAGGGGGAGTTTTTTCCAATTAAAGGACAATCGAAACGGGATTCGTTTATTTATTTCAGAGTCGCCACTTGGGAGATTTAGGGTGTCCCAAGTCACCAATTTTAATCCCGAATCGAGGAAAAGAATGACTCTATATTACAGTCTGCGTACCAGAAATC